TGAAATGAAATCCTCACTCCTCATTAATCATTACTTAAAATCTATCTATATAAACAAAACTGTATGATTAATCAAATCTTCATTAACATTACTTATGAGATCCTCACTTCTATTAAACAATTAAACTTGATGAGGATATCATCTGTCAATTAACAATTTACTATATGAGGAACAAAACAACATTCCAATTATACATTACAAATTGTGAGGAATTCCTACTTTCAATTAACAAAATTATTATATCAGGACCTCCCATTCCAATTTGTAACATTAACTTTAATTTTTTTTCCCTTAACATTTCTTTTTGAGGATCCCCTTTTTCAAAAAAACTCCCTCATTAACATTACTTTGAGGATCCCCCCATTTCTCATTAAAAATTTTTCTTGTGAGGATCCTCCTTTCATTAACATTACTTGTTTTGGGATTTCCTCACTTTTCATTAACATTACTTTGAGGATCCCACTCCCATTAAAAATTACTTTAGGATCCTCCTCCCTTAAAATTGGAACCCTACTTTTTTTAAAATTTTGGAGGATCCTCCCCTTTATTAACATTATTTTAGGGAAAACCCCCCTCCTCATTAAAATTTTTTGAGGTTTTTTTTTTTTAGAGGAAATTCTTTCCATTTTTTTTTTCCCCCCTCTTTTTTTTTTTGGGGTTAATTTTTTTTTTTTAGGTACCTCATATTAAAAATAATAATGATAATAAAAATAACATAATAATATAATAATAATAATAATAATAACAATAATAATAATAATAATAATAATAATAATAATAAATAATAATAATAATAATAATAATAAAAAATAACAATAATAATAAATAATAATAATAATAATAATAATAATAATAATAATAATAATATCATATAATAATAATAATAATAATAAAAATAATAATATAAATAATAATAATAATAATAATCATAATAATAATAATAATAACGAAAATAAATAACAATAAACTTCAAAATAATTAAGTAATATAAAACAAAAATCTGATACAATATAAAACAAAAATCTGATAGAATATAAAACAAAAATCTGATAGAATATAAAACAAAAATCTGATAGAATATAAAACAAAAATCTGATAGAATATAAAACAAAAATCTGATACAATATAAAACAAAAATCTGATACAATATAAAACAAAAATCTGATACAATATACAACAAAAATCTGATACAATATAAAACAAAAATCTGATACAATATAAAACAAAAATCTGATACAATATAAAACAAAAATCTGATACAATATAAAACAAGACCAAAAAAATCCCAAATTCCAAATTTTGTAACAAGAGAATGAAAGAAAAAATAAAACGTGTTTAAAACCGACAAAACTCGGGTGTCAAGGTGGGCGGAGGTAGTGGGCGGTGGTGGGCGGTGGTGGGTGGTGGTGGGTGGTGGGGGGTGGTAGTGGGTGGTGGGTGGTGGTGGTGGGTGGTGGTGGGTGGTGGTGGTGGTGGTGGGCGGTGGTGGGGGTGGTGGGTGGTGGTGGGTGGTGGTGGGGTGGGGTGGGTGGGGGGTGGGGGGGTTGGTGGGTGGTGGTGGCGGTGGTGGGCGGTGGTGGGTGGTGGTGGGCGGTGGTGGGTGGGGGTGGGTGGTGGTGGGTGTGATGGGGGGGTGTGGGTGGTGGTGGTGGGGTGGGGGGTGGTGGTGGTGGTGGGTGGTGGTGGGTGGTGGTGGGTGGTGGTGGGTGTGGTGGGTGGGGGTGGGTGGTGGTGGGTGGTGGTGGGTGTGGGGTGGTGGTGGTGGTGGTGGGTGGTGGGGGGGTGGTGGGGGGTGGTGGGCGGTGGTGGGGGTGGGGTGGGGTGGGTGGTGGGTGGTGGTGGGGGTGTGGGTGGTGGGGGGGTGGTGGGCGGTGGTGGCGGTGGTGGGGGGTGGTGGGTGGTGGTGGCGGTGGTGGGTGGTGGTGGGTGGTGGTGGGCGGTGGTGGGGTGGTGGTGGGTGGTGGTGGGCGGTGGTGGGCGGTGGTGGGCTGGTGGGGTGGTGGTGGGTGGTGGTGGGCGGTAGTGTGGTGGTGGTGGGTGGTGGTGGGTGGTGGTGGGTGGTGGTGGGTGGTGGTGGGCGGTGGTGGGCGGGTGGGTGGTGGTGGTGGGTGGTGGTGGGTGGTGGTGGGTGGTGGTGAGTGGTGGTGGGTGGTGGTACAAGAGGGTGGGGGGGGTCAACGCCCCCTCTCATCCTTGACAGTTATAGCGGCGATAATTAAATTTTAATTTTAAAATAACAGGAGAGGTGTTGATAAGGTGCTCACACCTGCTGCACCGTGCCCCACACCTGCTAGCACCGTGCTCAAAACCTGCTAGAAAACCCTGCCACACCTGCTAGCACCGTGCTCACACCTGCTAGTACCATGCTCACACCTGCCAGCACCGTGCTCACACCTGCTAGTACCGTGCTCACACCTGCCAGCACCGTGCTTACACCTGCCAGCACCTTGCTTACACCTGCCAGCACCGTGCTTACACCTGCCAGCACCGTGTTGATCCAAGGAACTGAAGCTAAGTCTTGTGTTATATTTGAATCACAGGTCATACCACGAGTGGTGTGACTCACACTGGTTTAGCGCTTCCTCATAATGATGATAATAAAAAATTATTATTATTGTAATTATAAATAATAATAATAATAATAATAATAATATTATTATTATTAATAATAATAATAATAATAATAATAATAATAATAATAATAATAATAATAATAATAATAATAATAATAAAAAATATTAATAATAATAATAATAATAATAATAATAATAATAATAATAATAATAATAATATAATAATAGTAACAATAATAATAATAAATAATAATAATAATAAATAATAATAATAATAATAATATATAATAATATTAATAATAATAATAATAATAACAATAATAATAATAATAATAATAATAATAATAATAATAATAATAATAATAATAATATAATAATAATAATAGTAACAATAAATAATAATAATAATAATAATAATATATTATTAATAATATTAATAATAATAATAATAATAATAATAATAATAATAATAATAATAATAATAATAATAATAATAGTAACAATAATAATAATAATAATAATAATAATAATAATAATAATAATAATAATAATTATAATAATAATAATAATAATAATAATAATAATAATAATAATAATAATTATAATAATAATAATAATAATAATAATAATAATAATAATAATAATAATAATAATAATAATAATAACCTGCTTTATACTGGTAATTTTTCACAATTCTTTGCATTTTCAGTCAAGAATTTTAGACTATTTTCTACCCGTTGACTTAGGTCAAGTCTAAGAAGAGTGAAGAATAAACTGGAGAATAAATTGAAGGATAGAATGATGAATAGAATGGTGATGATGGTGGGTGGGGCAGGTGATGATGGTAGGTGGGGCAGGTGATGATGGTAGGTGGGGCAGGTGATGATGGTAGGTGGGGCAGGTGATGATGGTGGGTGGGACAGGTGATGATGGTGGGTGGGGCAGGTGATGATGGTGGGTGGGACAGGTAATGATGGTGGGTGGGACAGGTAATGATGGTGGGTGGGGCAGGTGATGATGGTGGGTGGGACAGGTGATGATGGTGGGTGGGACAGGTGATGATGGTGGGTGGGACAGGTGATGATGGTGGGTGGGACAGGTGATGATGGTGGGTGGGGCAGATGTTGATGGTGGGTGGGGCAGATGACGATATTGGGTGAGGCAGGAGATGATAGTGGGTGGGGCAGGTGATGATGGTGGGTGGGGCAGGTGTTGATGGTGGGTGGGGCAGGTGATGATGGTGGGTGGGGCAGGTGTTGATGGTGGGTGGGGCAGGTGATGATGGTGGGTGGGGCAGGTGTTGATGGTGGGTGGGGCAGATGACGATATTTGGGTGAGTCAGGAGATGATAGTGGGTGGGGCAGGTGATGATGGTGGGTGGGGCAGGTGTTGATGGTGGGTGGGGCAGGTGATGATGGTGGGTGGGGCAGGTGATGATGGTGGGTGGGGCAGGTGATGATGGTGGGTGGGGCAGGTGATGATGGTGGGTGGGGCAGGTGTTGATGGTAGGTGGGGCAGGTGATGATGGTGGGTGGGGCAGATGACGATATTGGGTGAGTCAGGAGATGATAGTGGGTGGGACAGGTGATGATGGTGGGTGGGGCAGGTGATGATGGTGGGTGGGGCAGGTGATGATGGTGGGGGGGGCAGGTGATGATGGTGGGTGGGGCAGGTGATGATGGTGGGTGGGGCAGTGATGATGGTGGGTGGGGCAGGTGTTGATGGTAGGTGGGGCAGGTGATGATGGTGGGTGGGGCAGGTGATGATGGTGGGTGGGGCAGGTGATGATGGTGGTTGGAACAGGTGATGATGGTGGGTGGGGCAGGTGATGATGGTGGGTGGGGCAGGTGTTGATGGTAGGTGGGCAGGTGTTTATGGTAGGTGGGGCAGGTGATGATGGTGGGTGGGGCAGGTGATGATTGTGGTTGGGGCAGGTGATGACGGTGGGTGGGGCAGGTGAGTGTGTGGTATTGAAGGTATTAGGGCAGCGACGATATCTCATGCCATAACGGATAATAAAAAAACAGATCCTAGATCTTAGCCTACTAGATGTCACAGGAAATTAGTAACTAGGACACCACTACTAGCCAAAGCTAGCACACTAGCGTTTAGTGGGCATAATGCGACGTGTCTCCAGAGAAACGAGACAATACTTGTCTGTGAGACGGTGTTACCTGGAGTATACCTGGAGTATACCTGGAGAGAGTTCCGGAGGTCAACGCCCCATCGGCCCTGTCTGAGACCAGTCATCCTGCTGGATCAGGGTCTGATCAACCAAGCCATTACTGTTGGCCAGAAACCAGGACAAGTTGCTCTCTGACACGAGCCGCCATCACTAGACAACTGCTACCAGCTACCTACAACAATTCGGGTATTACTAGCTAGTAGTGCCCTAAGATCTATATGGAGAGTAGTGCAAGTACTCACCATAGTGGTTCTGGTACTGGAGGTCGTGTGAACCCTTCCTCCAGGGGTAAGCACGACCTAGGACAAACAAAAAATGATATTATATATATCGTACTGACAATGTTGGAAACACAATGTACAAGAAGACTGTATTTGTTCAGTAGAGAAAAAGACTGCAGGACTATGCACATAAGAGAGTGCAATGAGAGGCAGCCAGTCCCTCAACCAAGAAGTGGGAGATACGGGAGGGAGATCAGGTAGTGGAGGTGGGACAGGAAGGACAGGAAGGACAGGGAGGACAGGGAGGACTGGGAGGACTGGGAGGACTGGGAGGATAGGGAGGACAGGGAGGACAGGGAGGACTGGGAGGACAGGGAGGACTGGGAGGACAGGTGGGACAGGGAGGACAGGGAGGACTGGGAGGACAGGGAGGACAGGGAGGACTGAGAGGACAGGGAGGACAGGTGGGACAGGGAGGACAGGGAGGACAGGTGGGACAGGGAGGACAGGGAGGACAGGGAGGACTGGGAGGACTGGGAGGACTGGGAGGACTGGGAGGATAGGGAGGACAGGGAGGACAGGGAGGACTGGGAGGACTGGGAGGACTGGGAGGATAGGGAGGACAGGGAGGACAGGGAGGACTGGGAGGACTGGAGGACTGGGAGGATAGGGAGGCAGGGAGGACAGGGAGGACTGGAAGGACTGGGAGGACTGGGAGGATAGGGAGGACAGGGAGGACAGGGAGGACTGGGAGGACTGGGAGGACTGGGAGGATAGGGAGGACAGGGAGGACAGGGAGGATGGGGGGATGGGAGGACTGGGGGGATAGGGGGAAAAGGAGGACAGGGAGGGGGGAGGTTTGGGAGGAATGGGGGGACGGTGGGACAGGGGGGGACAGGGAGGGCTGGGGGGGGACAGGGAGGACAGGGGGGGACGAGAGGACAGGGGGGGACAGGGAGGACGGTGGGACAGGGGAAAGGGAAAGGGGGGCAGGGGGGACAGGGAGGACGGGGGGAAGGAAGGACTGGGGGACTGGGGGGGACTGGGGGGTAGGGAGGACGGGAGGACGGGAGGACGGGAGGGCTGGGGGACTGGGAGGTGGGGGGACGGGGGCAGGGGGGACTGGGAGGGCTGGGGGATGGGAGGGAAAGGGAGGGCAGGGGAAGGGGGGATGGGGGGAAAGTGGGACAGGGAGGACAGGGGGAGGGGGACGGGGGGCAGGGAGGACATGGGGGGACAGGTGGGACAGGGAGGAAGGGAAAACAGGTGGGGGAGGGAGGCAGGGGGACAGGTGGGACAGGGAGGACAGGGGAGGCGGAGGGAAGGGGGGGAAAGTGGGGAAAGGGAGGACGGGGGGAAGGGGGGGACAGGGGGAAGGGAGGACAGGGGAAAGGGGGAGGAGGGAAAGGGAGGACGGGGGACAGGGGGGGACGGGGGGGCAGGGAGGAAGGTGGGATAGGGGGACAGGGGGGGCGGGGGGGACAGGGGGAAAAGGTGGACAAGGGGAGGGGGGGACATTGAGGACAGGGAGGACAGGGGGAAGGGAGGAAAGGGGGACAGGGGGCGGGAGGAAGGGGGACTGGGGGCGGGGGCTGGGGGAAAGGGGGACGGTGGGAAGGGGGGAAGAAAGGGCGGGGGCAGGGGGGCGGGGGGGGGGAAGGTGGGCAGGGGGCAGGTGGGCAGGGGGCGGGGGCAAAGTGGGGGGGGGGGCGGGGGAAGGGGGCGGGGGACGGGAGGAAGCATTGTGTAATTTAAAGGTAAACAAGGAAATTCGGGGGAGGGCCCCCGGGGGAAATAGTTCTAATTTGGTTTGTTAAATTGTTAAGGTGTAAAACCCCAACAAAAAACAACACCCCCAACCCACCAAAAAAAAAAACCACCAAAAAAAAACCCCCCAACCCCCCACCCCAACCCCCAACAACACACAAAACCCCCCAAAAAAAACAAAAAACACCAACCAAAAAACCAAAACCCAAAACAAAAACCCAAAACAAAAACAAAACACAAAACCCCCCAAAAACCCCCCCCCAAAAAAAAAAAAAACAAAAAACCCCCAAAAAAAAAACAAACAAACAAAAACCCAAAAAAAAAAAACCCCCCCCCCCCAAAAAAAAAAACCCCAAAAAAAAAAAAAAAAAAAAAAAAAAAACCCCCCAAAAACCAAAAAAAAAAAAAAAAAAACCCCCCAAAAAAACCCCCCAAAAAAAAAAAAAAAAAACCACCCCCCCCACCCAACCCCCCCCCCCAAAACCCCCCAAAAAACCCCCAAAAACAAACCACCAAACCCAAAACACACCCCAACCAAAAAAACCCCCAAACCCCAAACCCCAAAAAAAACCCCAAACCAAAAACAACAAACAACCACCCCCACAAAAAAACAAAAAACCCCCACCAACAAACCAACAAAACACCACAAACACACCCACCCCCCCCCACCCAAACACAACAACCAAACACCCCACAACACCCCAACCACAAACCCCAAAAACCCCCCAAAAAACCAAACCCCCAAACCCCCCCCCACCCCACCCCCCCCCCCCCACCCACCCCCACCAAAACCCCCCCCCCCCAAAAAAAAACCCACACCCCCAACACACAAACACCCACAACAACCAAAACCCAACCCCACCCCCAAAACCCCCCCCCCAAAACCCCCCCCCAAAACCCACCCCCCCCAACCCCCCCCCCCCCCACACCCCCCCACCCCCACCCCCCAACACAAAACCCCCACCCACAACCCAAAACCCCAAAACCAAAAAACAACCAAAACCCCAACACCACAACCCACCACCCACCCAAAAAACCCCCCCCCCCCAAAACCCACCCACACCCCCAACACACCCCACCCACCCCCCCACACCCCACAACCCCAAAAAACCCCCCAAAAACAACACACCACAAACACACAAACAACACCCCAAACACCAACACACAAACACAACACACCAAAACACACAAACAAAAAACACCAAAAACCCCTCAAACCCAAAAACACCACCCCCACCCCCAAACACACAAAACCCCACAACCCCCACACAAACACCCCAAACCCAAACCCACCCAAAAACACAAACAAAAACCCCACCAACCAACCCACAAAACCACAACACAACACCCAACCCCCCAACCCAACCACAACACAACAAAACAAACCCCCCAAACACACACCACACACACAAAACAAAAAACCAACCACCACAAAACAACCACACAAAACACAAAAACCCCAAAACAAACCACCACACAAAACACAACACAAACCACCAACCCACAACCCCAACACACACACACACCACACAAAAAACAAACCCCCCACAAAAAAAAACCCCCCCCCCAAACCCAAACCCCCCCACCCCCACCACACACAAACCCACAAACACACACCCCCCCACAAACCCACCCCCACACCCCAAAAAAACAACCACACCCCACACCCCACCCCCAAACCCCCAAAACAAAAAACAAAAAACCCAAAACAAACCCCAAAAAACAAAAAAAAAAAAAATACAAAACAAAAAAACAACCCAAAAAAAACAACACACAAACCAAAACCCAAAAAAACCACACCCCACCAAACCCAAAAAACACAAACACACCAAACCAAAACAAACACCAAACACCAAACCCTGGGGAGGGCGCGGGGGTGCAGTATAAGCAGGAACCCCGGGGGAATTGGAAATTCATTACAAAACTTTGGATACCCTGGGGAAAGTGTGACAATTGTTTAGTTTTGACCGGGGGAAAAACCGGGGGGGGCATAATTTCGAAAACCCCCGGGGTGAATTGAGCAGGGTGTAGTCTCACTGCTGCGATACCCGGAGTGAAATGTAGGGCGAGGGTGTCAGTCATACTGCTTTTGTACCCCGGAGTGAAATGTGGAGCGAGGGTTCAGTCTTTACTAGCTGCGAAACCCTGGAGTGGTTTGTAGCAGCGAGGATGTCAGTCATATACTTTCTGATACCTGGGTGAAGGTAGGAGCGGGGGGGGTGTCCCTTCATAGCATGCTGAACCCTGAGTGAAGGTTAGGACGGGGTGTCGTCATCACTAGCTTGCGTACCCCGGGTGAAGTGTAGCAGCTAGGAGTGTCAGTCATCACTAGCTTGCTGTACCCTGGAGTGAAGTGTAGCAGCGAGGAGTGTCAGTCATCACTAGCTTGCTGATACCCTGGAGTGAAGTGTAGCAGCGAGGAGTGTCAGTCATCACTAGCTTGCTGATACCCTGGAGTGAAGTGTAGGAGCGAGGAGTGTCAGTCATCACTAGCTTGCTGATACCCTGGAGTGAAGTGTAGGAGCGAGGAGTGTCAGTCATCACTAGCATGCTGATACCCTGGAGTGAAGTGTAGCAGCGAGGAGTGTCAGTCATCACTAGCATGCTGATACCCTGGAGTGAAGTGTAGGAGCGAGGAGTGTCAGTCATCACTAGCATGCTGATACCCTGGAGTGAAGTGTAGGAGCGAGGAGTGTCAGTCATCACTAGCTTGCTGATACCCTGGAGTGAAGTGTAGCAGCTAGGAGTGTCAGTCATCACTAGCTTGCTGATACCCTGGAGTGAAGTGTAGCAGCGAGGAGTGTCAGTCATCACTAGCTTGCTGATACCCTGGAGTGAAGTGTAGCAGCGAGGAGTGTCAGTCATCACTAGCATGCTGATACCCTGGAGTGAAGTGTAGGAGCGAGGAGTGTCAGTCATCACTAGCTTGCTGATACCCTGGAGTGAAGTGTAGCAGCGAGGAGTGTCAGTCATCACTAGCTTGCTGATACCCTGGAGTGAAGTGTAGGAGCGAGGAGTGTCAGTCATCACTAGCTTGCTGATACCCTGGAGTGAAGTGTAGGAGCGAGGAGTGTCGGGGATTACTGAGGCATGATACGGTATGTATGAAGGAAGGAGTTGGAGGAGGAGGAGGAAGACAAGAAGGAAGAGGAGGTTAATCCCTCCTGTAATTAACAGGTATCCCTCAAGGTAGGGATGATCAATTATCCTTCGAGGGAAGGATTATCAGGTATCCCTCAAGGTAGGGATGATCAATTATCCTTCGAGGGAAGGATTATCAGGTATCCCTCAAGGTAGGGATAATCAGGTAT